CTAACCTTTTTGTGAAGCTATGCCTCAAACTAATATTTCCAGGTCTGCAACAGACTTCTTGTGTATCCTGGGCACTTATGACCAGGTTTTAAAGATATTTAGACACTTAAAGATACAGATAGTCATCTAGTAGGAATTAGATGCCTAGGCATTTTAGCAAATCCCAATATACACTAGGGATGTAAGCAAGTAATTGAGTCGACTACTCACATTTCCTCCACCCCTTGCTGCCTCTGTATCAGAGAGGCAGCCAGGGGTGGGGAAGCAGGAGCTGGTGCTGAGAGGAGCCATCTTAAAAGCCAGTTTCCCCCAGCAACCTCTGCATGGTGCCACCTTCCCCTCCCCCGCTGCTGCCTCTATCAGAGGCAGCAACTGGAGAATGGGGCAGAGGGAGGCTGCTGTGAAGCAGCCCTTATCTATGTGGGGGTTCCAGCTCTCTACTGAGACCCTCTGTAGAGAGGAGCTGCTGGACCCGCTGCTTACTATATTTAAACTGCAGAGTTGTAGCAGGAATAGCTCCTGAACTGAGGAAGCCTACCATTATCGAGTAATCGTGTAGCCGATACAAATTGTATTGACTGCAATTAGCCAGTTTCCCACCTCTTAACATCCATAATATGCACCTATGTTCATCTTTAAAATTATTTGGGCACCTAATAATCTGACCCTTAAGACCTGGCCACAAAATTGTCTGTCTGGTCTATCTTGACAACATGGAGCCAAGTATGATTGGTGGAAGCTTTTTACAGAAATCCAATTTTCAGGGAGGAAATGTTCTTGTTTCAATCTTTCATTAATATCATAAAATGTTTTTTGTTGTTTTTAGACTTAGTGAGCCAAATTGTTCTCATTTGCACTAGCACAAAATTAGATTCACAAGTTGTTCTGGATTTATACTTTAGCTGAGAGCAGAATCTAACTTGGGATACTGTACTGGTTCCTACTCTCATTAGTTGTTGTTGCCTTCTGTTTTCAACAGAGAAGAGTTTAAATAACTTAGATTAATTTCATGCTTCATTAACACCATTAATGGAGAACATAGGGGGAGCAAAAGGTAACAATGAGACAATAGTGGTCAGGATAATGGGCAGCATCCTTTGCTCAATCATTAGTGAATTTTCTACAGGCATCATAGGAGAGGAAAGTTTTAATGAGGAATATGAGGGAGGGCAATGAGGTGGCTTTGTTTACAGAGAGCTCCTATTATGCACAACAGGCAGCAAAGTTTGTTGAAAAAAAATTTAAATGGAATGAAAATGACTGCTGGCCTTCCAACACAGAAGAGATGACAGGCTGGTGTAATGGTGTTACAATGAGCAGCAGTGGGCTGAAGGCATATGCACCTGACCTGGGATACACTGGGTTGGAATGTTTTCAGGGAGGGATCATTTTGTGCTGCAAATAGAACACCTGGATTCAATTTGGTTTCCTTCTCAGTTTCTTAACTCGAGTTTTGGCAACAGCTATTTACTAACTCCGGGAATACCATCCCAGACTCTCCTGCAGCACCACTCTAGGACCATCCCTGACTATATCTATGATCTGATGCAGTCACTCAGTACTCACTGCTCTTTGGTAGCCACTCTGCCTCTGTATTATTTTCCAAGCCTTCTTAAAATACTAATGTTAAATCAGCCCTGAAATTGTTCCTCTTTCCTTTTAAAAATTCAAACATTTCAATTAACTATGCTTAATCCTTATAATTCACATTGTTATCCTTAGTATGTCCTGCTCTCCAATTCTTTGATCCATTGGATATTCTACAAAGATTGAAATCATGCTCCAAATGTGATTTGCCTTTCCAAAGTCATTTTATGAAAGTGATGACATGGGATTCTGCATTTATTATGTCTCAAATGATGATCCATATCAAATACTATCAGTTTTTGACATGCAAAAAGATGTTTTCTGACTAACAGACCTCCAATCTCAGCCTGGAATTTGAAAATCAGACTGAGCTCTTTCTGCAAGTAAGAAACTGTCCTTATTTATAGTGGTGAAACTGCTGCACATTATGTCCTTAATTACACCTGTGCAATCCTGCTTCATTCACTGATAGATATGATCACAGTAGGAATTAAAGTCACATAAATGGCCCTACAATTGGTAGTTAACAGTTCTCTTGAGCTATGAGCCAGAGAAGAATAGAGTTCTCTCTGCCATATGTCAGTTAGCTCTGCAGAGCTGACAAAAGTAAAGATGTAACTGTCATTAAAGAAAGCACACAAGACTGAACATGCGTAGGGTGCAGATCTGTTAAATCAGGGATGGGTAACCAAAGGCCCCGGGGCCGGATGTGGCCCCTGGCTTGCCTAAATCCGGCCCCCGAGGCTCAGGGCTCCCCCCAGTATTGAGGCGCCTGCACTGGCGCTCCAGCCCCCCTGCTGCCTCATCATGGTGCTGGAGCACAAAGAATCTACTGGCCTGGGCCCCCACAGGCTCTGATGTATGAGGGGAATGTGGGGAGTGTCTATGTCAGTGAGGAGTGTTTTGTTTTGTTTCGTTGTTATTCGCTTGTGTGTGGCCCCCAACTCTAAAAAAGGTTCCCTCCTCCCCCGTATTAAATAAGGTAACATTTTCCCATAATCATTTTTAAAGTAAAATTTAATATACAACTTTTACTGTATAGATTTCTGCTTTTTCCCAGTAATATTAGTTTCAACTCTAGTATTCAGCTAATGGAAATCAATATACTAGAGCAGTTATTTATAGCAATTTTATAACTCAACCAAGAGTGTAATTTAAGGAAAAGCTATGAGAGTAGGGAGGAAGAAGAGGGGTGGGATAAAGAACAACATTTATCTTTCTGATGTGGCTTTATACAGTACACTGGATATTAAGGATGTTAAATTTAGAGTAATCAACTCAAATAGTCCATGTAATTTGTATCGACTATTCGATTAATTAAGAAGGGCCACCTCCACCTTTGAAATGTAGCAAGAGACCTGCTGGCTCTTGCAAAATTTTAAAGGTGGAAGTACTGCAGGGAGCACGGCCAGCGGGGGACTCAAATAGGTCTGGGGACGCTTTGCTTTTGAAATGTAAAAGAGCCTTCCCATGGCTCTTGTATATTTCAGAAGCAGGGGGTGCGGAACCAGCGGAGGACTGTTTGAGTCCCCCAGTTCACCCCAGGCTCCGTGAAGCACTTCTACATTTGCTTATCGGATAGTCAACTAGTCGACTTATTGCTTATATCATTACTAGATATTAAAAGACTCGATAGCTCTAGTAAAAATAAGGTTTTCGCCTATTTGTGTTTGGTATAGCTAGCTTTGTGAAAAGGGGGAAGGAAATCAAGCCATAAATTGTTTGATTTTGTGGATTCATTGTCAAATGGGAGGGTTTTTTAATTCCCACTTCATCCTTGTGCTGGTGGAGAAGGGACCAACTAATGAAAAAGTAGCACATTCTGCAAGGGAAATATGACTTCCAATAGTGTAAGACCAAAAGTGACCCCTAGTTTTCTTTGTTTATACGGTTGGCCCTAACTTGGTCAAACTTCCATGCTAAGCACTGTTGTGCCTGTTAAATTTGGTTGCTGCCCTCCCCTGCTGAAAGGGACTTGTTTTTCACAGTGCAGGCCTAAGGGTCCACCTCTGCTGGTCTGACTTCAGAGTCACGGCTATGTTTTGTAGAACTGAGCAAGCAGGCAGAAATTAATTTCAGATAACATTCCACAAATATAGCAATTGTTTATTTTGACTGATTTTTCTCTAATCTAGATTTCACCTGTTTGAATTATAGGTGTTTTAAATGTCTGTAAACTGCATAACTTTTACTGATGTACTAACTCATTACATTATTTGTTTGCAAATATTTCCTGTATCCATAATTGCCAGATTTGTCTACATTATCTGAAATTCATTTTAATTTTCATTATTTGTCAAACTTCTTGATTGTTAGCATAAAACATGCTGTATAAATGTAACATAGTATTATCAACGCTCTTAAAACGGAATTTTCTATTTTCTTCCAAGTAAGTCCCTATAATGTCACACCTTGTATATTTTTCTGTGCATCTTCTACCTCCTCCTACTTTGGTGATTTAAAACTTTCCAGTAACCTTAACAAGTATTTTTCTACTTCACAAAATGTTGTGAGAATGCATTCTCACATTGATGTATTTCATGTGCTCTGACACTAGGATGATTAGCTCCACACAGAACCTCATGAACAAACCAGAGTGGGATCTAAAGTTTCAAACTTTTTTTAAAGGGAGAGAGAGAAATATCTAGACCAAAAAAGTAAAACAGTCAGAATAACTGTTGGCGAAAACCCTTTGGGAAATTGTCTTATTGCCAGTTTTGCACTTTTTCCTTTTCTTGTTGGGGTTACTAATTATTAGAATAATATCAGAAGCCCGATTTTCAGCACAAAGACTATGTCGTTAAACAATGACTATGTTTAACCAAGAAGGAATGAAAAGTCAAAGGAGCTTTATCTCTCCGGCTAAATAATTCAAAGAGGTTGCCGAGTTAGTCTGTACAGGATAAGCTTAAAAAAAAACAAGTAGTCTGGTAGCACAGTAAAGACTAGCAAAACATGATGCCATCTAGTCTTTAAAGTTCTAGCAGACTATTTGTTGGATAAATAATAAGCAAGCCATCTTTTCGAAGCTGAATTTGCGACTGGCGGATTTAAATGTCACTACTAACCGCAAATACACATCTCCCATAGAGCTGCACTCTGTAAGGAATATGGGGGTAACCAGCCGAAACTCCCTCAAACTATCCCGTGTTATTGTAGCTTGAGCACAATGTTACTTGCTTTAGTAAAGCTCCACACACTTTTGGCTGGACAGAGGAGTCACTAACTTCATCACACGGCGAGAGATTTATCTAGAGATCCTCAACCATTCCATGACTCTAGCAAAACCTCTAACACCAGCCCATGAGCCGGGAATCATGGGCCCACACAACAAATCTTCCCCAAGCTGAAAGATCTGCGGCAGATAAGGGAAGCGCAAGGCTGCGAGTGGCTACCTAAGCAGGTAGCGTTACCTTGACGAAGAGGGAAATGTCATGCTCTTGCGCCTCTTCCCCGGGGTCTCCCGGAGTGCTCACCGCCACCGCCTCCTCCTCCTCCTCCGCCTGCGTGCAGTTCACGTCCAGCGCGTCCTCGTCTCTCTCCGCTCCCGCAGGCTCCTCGGGGTCCCCGCTGGCCTTTGGGTCTGCGAGGTGATTGCTCAGTTCATCCCCAGCTGGGGTGTCCTCGGGGCTCTCTCCGACTCGGGCGTGCTCCGCTGCTGCGCTCATCTCCTGGGGGGCCCGGCCTGAAGCAACTCCTTGCCGCCGGCTCTTGGGGCTCTGCGCCCCCGGGGGCAGCGCCGGGGCTTTCTCCGTCCCTCCTTTCGCCCTCTGCATCCTCCTCGTCCCCGCTCTCGGGCTTTTCTTCGGCCGCTGCATCTTTGCCAGCGCCTTCCTCGCTCTCCTCCTCCGCGGGCTCGTCTCCCTCCGGGGTTGCTGCCTCTCGGGACCCCTCCCCGGGCTTTTCTTCCTCCGCCGCCGCCGCCTCCTCTGGCTCGCCTGCTTCGTGCTCTTCCTCTCCTGCAGCCCCCGCCGGAGGAGTTTCTGCCCCGGGGACTCCCCCTTCCTCGATGCTCGCCCCCGGCGTCTCTGCTCCGCTGCGCTGCTCCGCGGGCGCCTCTGCAGATCCTTCGCCCTCGCCGCTTCCCCCTGCGCCTGCTTCGCCCTCTCCCTCCTCGCTCTCCCCGCCGGCCCGCTCCGGCGGCCCGCTCCCCCCCTCGGGGCTGCCGCCTGCCTCCTCGGCGCCCCCGGGCGCCCCCTGCTCCTTCCCTTCAGCTTCGGCTGCCTCTTCCCGCCAGGGGCCGGGGGGCTTCGCCCCTTCCTCTCTCTCTCCCTCCCCCGGCACTTGGGTGCCCCCTGCCCCGAGCGGCTCTGGGCTCTGCACCATGCTGCGCCCCTCCGCGGCGCCGGGCTCCTCGGCAGGGGAAGGGGGGCTGCTGTCCATGGCGCGGCGCCGCCGGCTATGGCGACTCCTCGCTGCACCCGCAGGGATTAGACTGACCCGAGCCCAGCGCCAGCACCTGCCCGGGAGCGCCACGGGGCCGGCTGCGCATGCTCCCTCGCAGCTGCCCTCGCTCGACCCTGGCTCGCCCTCAGAACCTGCTCCCCGCGCCAGGCGGGGACAGAGCAGGAGGAGAGGGGTCAACAGGCGGGGGCGGGGGAAGGCACATAACCAGGGGGTGACAGGGGCGCTGGATGTCGGGGTGCCGCTGCTCACAACCCCCTGGCTTGAAGTGGTGTCCATTAGATAAAGGGTTTCCTTCACTGGCTCTTGGCACCCTGCACTGTACAGATTGTCCCAGCAGCCTTGGGGGAGAAGGGCAAATGGAGACAGAACAGCAAAGGTTGGAGTGGAGGCAAAAGCAGGGAGATGTAGGGGCAGAACCTGGTCTGGGGTAGTTGGGCTAAATTCCTCCTTAGACATTTATCTTCTCTTCCCTGGGTTGTGACAGCAAAGCAGCTGTCCCGCCAAAGCCTCAGCACTTTCCTGATCTGATGTTTTTGCTGTGGGAAAGTAACCCCGGCCAATGTTCTGCTGCCTGGCACCCACAGGGCGACACCATCACTGCGTCTGCCAATGGCATTGGTTTGGGGGACAGGGTCCGGGAGAAGGGAGCGGAGGAGCCAGTTCCTCTCTGCACCCAAGAGCAGAGGCGGGAAACGGGTGAGGAACTGCAAGCACCAAACATACGTGATTCTCCATGAGAAATCCTCCTTGTTTTTTCTCACTGGCGGTCAGAGCTCTCAGTGGGCTGCCTTTGCTGCTGCTCCCCCTGCTCCTGCTCCGGCTTCCCTTTGCCAAGTTTTAACAACTTGCCCTTTGCAGTCCTTCAAACATCTTGCCAAAAGCCCTGGCTTGATTGCAAGTCTCTGAGACGTATCTTGCCCACTTAAGTCCTTGCTGCATCCCTCGTGCCTTTACTGTGTTCCAAAGCTTCAAAGGGGTAGCCCAGTTATGTTCCGTTAGTCTCTAAGGTGCTGCAAGACTATTCCTTGTTTTGTAACCTCTATTGTGGTTAGGGCAGGATGGCGGGGACGAATTCTCGTGGGTGGCCTTACATGGGGAACGCAGGAAAGTAGCCCAAAATGTAACGGTAGCCCCAAATGCTTCGCAGAGTTGTGCCCACTAACGCTCATGATCTCATCTACATGTTTTGTTAGTCTTTAAGGTGCTACCAGACTGTTTGTTGTTGTTTTCTTAAATAATAAAATGTTTGGGCTACATCATAAGCAGTAGCCAGAGAGAGACGAAGTAGGGAGAAGGCCGAAAGCTACCTCCACAGATGAGCTTTGATAAGAAATGGAGAGCTAATGCTGCAGCGATAGAAGAAGGCTGGTCCAAAAGGCAGGAGGTCCTTCGCGGGACTGGAGGAGATTAAGCAATTTCTACTTTAAAAATGAGGTTTGTGAGGGAGCCCACTAAACGTCTAGGGGAGGGTTCAAAATCAGAGAGAGAACTCGTGGGCTGCCTCCTCATCTGCACGAGGAGCTATGGTCGTTGTCAGGATGGAGTTGCCCTTTATATTCAGGAGAAAACACAAACTCCCTTCTGCACGTGCTGGAGCTGGAGGGAGACCGGAGAAAGGAAATAAATAGTTTAGAGCGGGAAGACATAAAACATGGCTAAAGGTTTCTGCAGAGATGATGGTGACGGCAGATAACGACGCAAAGGTGGAGACAGGCAGCCGTGCGGTATTGCTGATGTGAGAAAATCTGGTGCAGAGGAAAGAAAGGCACGGAAATTATGGCGCCGGGTAGCTTTATTAGGCTATCTGCGTTGTCGTTTTTATTACATTTCTGGACTCCTCTGGGACTAAACTCAAGCCTCTGGAGAATATGGCCAGAAATAAGAAGGCGGATAAAAGACCGTAGAGAACTGAAGATCGCGAACTACGAATTGTGGTGCGGAGGTGGATTCACTTTACAGAGTGGTTTGGTAGCCAAAGGGTACCAGACTTGCCTGCATAGCATTCCCTGGTCCAGCGGTGTGCCACGGGCTGCAGTCAAACAAGGAGAACTAGTTGGCATAAATCCGAGCCTATCAAACTTACCAGTATTCATAAAATAGCTATCTATTTGGCAACATGCAGCACATTCTAAACATCCTTGTACTAAAAATCAACCACTTGATCACCGAGAAGCGGAAGAGTGCACATTAACTGCAGGTCCTAGGCAAACAGTAACTTTAAAAGAGACAGCGAAAGAACACAATTTCAATAGTTCCTTGGTATATTCCCAAACAGTTAGTGGGCTGCACTAAATATCTTCCTTCCCCCTCCCCTCCCCGCACACACACTTCGGGACCAAACCTACTTTTGCATTAATATTAATCTTGAATAAAGCAGTTCACGTTTCAATACCAATTTGTTGCAGTCGTATGAATGAGCACGGCATTATACTGTGCAGAACAGTCATATTGAATCTGTACTGTAAGTAGCTTTCATATATCATCTAGCTAAATATAATAATGCTCTGCAAGAGTTCTGAGTTTATAGACTGATCTGAAATGGATATAAAAGTATAATAGGGTGGGATTATCAGTAACTTTAAATTACGGCAGGGATACCGAAGATTCAGAGTGCATAAATTCGATTTTCCTATCTCAGTGGAATTTTTTTTGGTTTGGATTGGGGAGGTACTCTTCTTGCTCAGGAAAAATGTAAAACTTTTTACAAAGATTTTAGCTGTTTTTTGTTATAAAGAAAGCCTTCTAAATGTTAATTGAAACTTCTGAAATGATGGGTCTCAGGGAGCTGTGACCAGAGAGGTGTGATCAGAAGACTAGCGATGACAATGTATATGCCAACGTTAACTATTCCATGGCTGATCAGTTTAGCAGAAACACCCTCTCATCTTTGTTTTTTTCTTTTTTTTTCTTTTTTTGTATGCGCGGATGGATTAACTAGGAAGAAAGTTCTACAGGAATAAGATGCCAGATTTTAAAGATGAGAATAAATGAGATTGAAAATAAGAGTAACAGAGCGTTTTGGGGTGTAGATGGGGGAGATAGATACTCCACATAGGAGTTGGTGCCTCTAAACAGCACCCTTACTATGCAAATTGCATAGCTTATTTGCATCTTATTTTGAAATAAAGCACTATTCCGAAATGTCCCTTTTCCCTCCTGCAATGAGGTTTACAGGGATGTTGGAATAGAGCCAGTTATATTTCCATATAATGGGCTTGCTATTAAGGCAATTCTAGACTGCATAATTTTATCAGAAAAAGACACACAAATTGTGAACTGCAACTTGTGTATCTTTTTCTGCCTTTTTTTTTTTTTTTTGGAGACTTTTTTCCAAAATTTGGCCCATCTACATGGGGCCAAATTTCAGAAAAACCTCCTCTTTTGGAACATCCCTTATTCCTACCAAGAGGTATACAGGGATGCCAAAAGAACACACCCACTTTTTCAGAAAACTGTTCTGAAAAAGTGGACGCATTCCCTGGATGCGGGGTATCCCGGAAAAACTCTGCAGTCTAGACATAGCCTAAGATGCAGAATAGCTATAGGTCCACAGTGTAGACATAGCCTGGGAGAGAAGGGAAGACAGAAGAACTGGAGAGAAAATAAGATCTGGGAAGAATGGAAGATCTTGAAGAATAAATCACAGGGTGAAATGAAAACTCAACTCCATTTAAATTATTCAATAATGATGCAAATAAGTTACCATATAATTTATTATTGGTTTACATATAGGTTTATTGTAAGTTAGATGGTAAACAAAAAAAAGACAATGATGGACTGAAGAATAGCAGGGCAGGTTTAGCTTTGCTCTCTAAGGGTATGTCTACACAATAAAGTTATTTCGGGATACCAGAGGTATCCCGAAATAGCTACCCCACCTCTTTTAACGTGTCTGCTATTTTGAAATATAGCGAATGTGCTATTTCATCATCCCTGTAAACCTCATTGTATGAAGAGTATGGCTCGAAATAGCACCATATTTCAAAATTTGGTGCTGTGTAGACAGTGCCAAATGGCAAAACAAGCTATTTCAAAATAGACTTGAAAAAAAGCTATGCAATTTACGTAGTGCAAATTGCGTATCTTATTTCGAGTTTTGGGTGCTATATAGATGCACCCTAAGGATGGGTCTACACTGCCCCCTAAACTCAAAATAAGATATGCAATTTGCACTATGCAAATTGCGCTATGCAAATTGCACATCTTATTTTGATTTTTATCAAAATAGGCAATTTTGAAATTTGGCTTGTCTACATGGCACCAATTTTCAAAATAAAGCACTATTTAGAGCCATCCATTATCCCTCATGGAATGACGTTTACAGGGATGCTTAAATAGTGGGTTCACTATATTTTGCAATAGTGGATGTGTTCAAAAGATGCGGAGTAGCTATTTTGGAATACCTCTGCCTTGCAGTGTAGATTTACCTTTAGTTTCTCATGTCACTGGCATCCTCTGATGAATGTATAGCCTCATACTTCATGGTTATGTGTGATTATTTCCATAGCTCAATTTATCTTACTTCTGGTTAACTGAAGATTAGTAAGTCCCCCAGTAACAATGCACACCATACATTGTTTCCCTAATCATTTAGCAAATGTTTCAGGTGTTACGTGGAGCACAGCTGAAGACAATAGTGAAGGTAAGTAGTTAGTCTTAGCCATCATGTTGTCTGATCTGCTCTGATTAAAGCCAGATGGCATAGTGGCTAAAAGGATGATGGTTAGTTTACATTGGAGCTCCTTTGTCTCTGGTATTCTTTAATAGTTTGCTGTTTGGAGGGGGAGGATTTGCTCAGGAACTTCTGGAGATTTTCTTTTGTTTGTGGACATGGCTTTTTATTTTCATGGGCCACTACAACGTCCTTTCAGATGTCTTCTTGTTTCCTTTCAGTCTGATTCTGTGGGTACAGCAAGACTACACAGTTTTTCCTGGATACCAGAAGTATCCTGGAAGAACTGTTCCATGTCCAAGGAACACGTTTGTTCTTCCTTTTTTTTGCGCAAGAGCAAACACGCTCTTTCGGAAGCTCCTGTATT